CCCACCTGTTGCACTCCTAACTCCTCCCCAGGGTCCCTCTGTGCTCCTCCTGCCCTCCCCACCCTGCTCAGCTATTCACCTGGAGGCCTGAGCCTCCTAGGATTCTCCTGTCCTGGTGGCAACACTGGGGGGTGGAGGGCACCTGAAGTCTGAGGGGCCCCAGCCTCATGGCAACATGTCTGAAGGAGAGAACCCAGCAGGAGATGGGGCCCTGGCCCCCCATGGCCCACACACACCATGCATCTCCCCTGCTCTGCTCTCTGTCTTTCTCTGGGTCTCCATCTCTCAGCGACCTTCAGCCTTCCTTCCCTTCTGCCTTGGCCTGGATCTCTGACTCCCTGGGCGTCTTTGTGTCACCAGATTTTCCCGGTGCTTTCCTCTCTGGATCTCTGCCCCGCGCCTGTGTCTTTTTCTTTCCTGGCCTCTTTCTAACCACGATCTCCTCTTCCCTTCTCGCGTCCCCTCCGGTCTCATTTCTCTCCTCCACGCTCCCTCTGCCTCTGTGTGGGTGTCTGTCTTTGTCTCTATTTCTCAGCGTCATTTGCGCCTCTGTCAGCCTCCCCCTCCGTCTGTGTGAGTGTGTGCTCCTGCGCGCCTGTGTACGGCGCAGTTCTTCTCTGCCTGCCTCCACAATGGCTGCTCCAGAGTTCCCCACATCTGTGATGGTGTCTGAAGACAGGGAAGCAGTGGGATCAAAGCAGGTGGGAATTCATTTAAAAACACAAAGGCAGATTTGTGCACCCCCCAGACTAGAGCTGCCAGGCCGGTGAGGCCGTTTATCTGACGCTGCTGCTAAGGGAGGCTGGTCTGTGGTCACGTTCTGGCTGTGGTCAGGCCCTTCCTGATTCCCCTCCCACTTGGCTCCTGAGCCCCACATCCCCATCCCACAGGGAGCCATTCCCCTGCGTTTCTGTTGGGTGCTGGTTTTGTTTCCTGGAAGTGGGGTGCGGGTGCAGGGATGGAGCTGAAATCTCCCCCCAGTTCCGGTGCAGGCTCTGTTCTGTCACAGATGGTGGAAGGCCCAGGCCACCAGGACTTCAGAGGCCCGTGTGTGTTCTCGGATTTGTGTGTATCCTTGTTAGGCCACTGGTGGTGGTTCTGGGTGCCTTCTTGACACTCCAGGACATAACCAGTAATTCCTTTTTTGTAATGCCACCAGACACCTCTGCCCTTCCTGTTGGGCCCTGTCTGATGTCTGCACCTCGTTGCTCACTTTCTAGGCTTTTCTCTCAGCAATCGCCGTATCCCCTCATCACCCACCCCCACCATTGCATCAGACCTTTCCAGAGTTCTGTTTCCCCTGCCCATACCTTTCAGGGAAACTTCCAGGACTGACTCCAAGTCCTGCCCCAGCACTGTTCCTCCTCTCACTGCACCCTGTCCTGTCTCTTCAGTCCCCTGCCCTGTCCCCTGTGTCCCTGGTCCCCTGCCCTATCCCTGCCTCTGCTGGAGTCTGTGAGCCTGCCCTGGGGCAGGAGGAGCTCCGCCTCCTTTCCTTGATGGGGGTTTCATGAGGCAGGACCATTTACTCAGGCATTGGCTCACTCTCACCCCATCAATCAACAGACTTACTCAGAACACCTGCTGCATACCTGGCAGCCAGGCCCTGTGCTAGGTGATGGGGCTGGAGCTCTGAGTGACACAGTCCAGACTCAAGGAGTTCCCCCAGGGGCAAGGCAGGGGGAGGGCAGTGCAGTGTGGACCTACTATAGCAGAGGTGAGAAGTGAGTATAAAGGGCTCTGAGGGCATGCAGGCAAGTCACGGAAGACTTCACAGAGGAGTTGGCCGTTGGAATTCCAAGGGAGGAGGAGGGAGCAGTGTCCCACCCAGGGAAAGGCCTGTGTAAGGGCATGAAGGGTGACAGAAGCCTGGAGTGTGCAGAGTAGAGAGAAGGGGCCTTGGTGAGGGGAAGCCTGGGGCTTTCTCGGAATCATGAGCCACATAGGGACAGCCCGTGGGCGTCTGGACTCTATCTCAGATACTGTCTTGGCTGCAGGGGCTATTTTGCCTGCGACTTTTGCAGGCTCAGGATCTAGGCTGCCTTCCCATCGAGTTAAATTCCTGAGCCCCTTCACTTCCCCTCCTCTCTGGACTCTCTTCAGGGTTATTGCTTCCATCCCCCTGTCTCCAGACAAAAAATTGCTTCAACCAGGCCTAAACCAAGAGGGAATTTTACTCCAAAATCCCCAGGATGACAGATTCTTCTTTGTCATATCCTTGCTCAGGTTTCTGAGGGTCCCTCTAATTATCTAACTGTTCAGGATAAATAAGGGCCATAGCTGCCACTTAGTGGGCACATGCAAGGGAGTGTACCAGGCATGTCATCCAGCTCATCCCATGTAACTGGCACAGCAATCCGGGATGTGGGCGTTATCATCCCCCAGTTTACCAGTGAGGAAAATGAAGCTCAGAGAGTAAGTAACTTGGCCAAGGTCACACAGTTAGGAAGGGGCAGAGGAACCATGCAAACTTCATTCTGTCTCCTGAACCTGTGCTCTTCGAGGGCCCTCTGCAGTCTTTAGCCCAGACTTGTCCTTGTACAGGTCACAAAGGAATCTGGGAAGGGGAAGTGACATGCCCAAGGTCACACCACTCCTCCCTCCTGCAAGACCCCCATCGCTGACTGACTCCAAGGGTTTCCCACCTGTCCTCCACAGGTCAGCTGCCTCCTCGCACCCAGTGGACGAGGAGCCAGCCTCTCACTATCCTCTGGAGATTCAGCAGGAGACCAGGGCCTCCAGGCCCCACACGGGAAAGCTGTGAATATAAATTCCATCTCTGAGCCAGGGCTCACAGGCCACCCCACCGCCAAGCCCTTGACTTGGGCTCCAGGGGCTGTAGAAAGGAGAAACGTGAGTGTGGAGAGTTTGCAGCATGTAGCTGCACTGGAGAAATGCGCAAGGATATGAATAAATTTGAATAATAATGAGGGCAATGCCTGAATTAATAATGCTGGCTGCTCACCTGACCCACCCCTCCCCCAGGATCTCAGCACCTGCCACCCTAATCCCTGGAAATATGGGTGAGCCTTAGCCTTTCCTCCTTTAGAAGACACGGATGGGGTGTCAGGTCAGCAGAGTTGGGGAGCTGCTCATGGAGTGTGGGGAGAGGCCCTGTTTCTAACTTCCTGCAGACACAAAGAGCTGGATTTGCAGGCTTAACCAAAAGATGCTGCCTCATTGCATTAAATCATACACTGGCCATAAGTCCACCACCTCTTGCATGGTCCTCTTTGTGTGCAGCAGCCAATGTGGATGTCAAATGTCCGGGGAGATTCAGAGGGAAGAGACAGCATGGCCCTTGGCCTCGAGGAGAAGTTCCCATTCTGGTGGAACAGAAGGGCAAATGCATGGGCATAGACTCTGATAGCTTAGACAGGAAATCTCACGGACAGAGCTGTGACAGCAGGGCTGAGTGATGGGACAAGTTATGTTTGCCCAAGGAGCTAAGGGATCAATCTAGGAGGTCTTCCTGGAGGAAGGGGATGTGGGGCAGATTTGGAAAGAAGGAGAGGAATGGAGCTGGAGGAGGGAAAAAAAGAAGGGAGGGATGAGACTAGGGTCCTGTCATTAGAGGGAGGTCTTGAATGGAGGAGGGACAAGTTCCATTTGCTTACATGCAGAAGTGATGGAGGATCAGAGAAATTTTGGAAAGCTGGATTTGGAAAGAGTTGGACTGTGGTCTCTGCAAAGACTTGGGAGCTGGGGAGGGAAAGAAGGTGAGGAGTGCCCTGAGTTCTGGGAAAAGTTGGTTTTGGTTACAGTGGTGTGACAGATTGGGGACGTGGGTAGGAAGCCCCAGACCTCTCCTTTTGCTGTCCTGCAGCCCCCCATCTCCTCTCCTTCTCCCCACAGCTGATGGCCACAGCTCCTGAAGCTCTGCATGGTGCCCAGGCCTGCCCCACCACTGGGCCAAGCAGGGCTGGTTGGAGTGGGTGGGTGGGAGCGGTGGGGGAGAAGAAACCTACAATCCAATTCCCTGCTCCATTTAGGCTCCACAATTAAAGGCAATTACTCTGCAGTTCTCTAATCAAATGCTCCCGGCCGAGCTGCCAGCCGGGCAGCCATGTGTAGCTCCCGCAGCCAGAGGAAGAGCAGAACAGTCACATGTCTTCTCGGCTCCCACAGTGCAGGAGGCCGACCATGTGCAGGTGTGTCCTGTGAATACACTCATGCCCCCAGAGCTCGAGAGCAAGGAGTCAACACCCACAACGGGGCAAGGGGGCCAAGAAGTGGGCTCAGAGCTACTTTGTTTTGAATACACTGCCACCCGGGAAGCTTATATACACACATGTGGACATGTGGACATGCCTGCCCCATAGAATCTGCCCTTAGGTACTTGCCGGGTGCATTCATGGGGGATAGGTACCTGGAATAGCTGCACATATGTGTTACCTCACGCTGGCTCATAGGACAGATGTCCAAGTAGGGGTATGGTGGTATATTCTGCCCCAAGTATTGAGGGGGCTGCAGCATCACCAGCAGCATCTGTTATGGATGCATTGACCGTTGACCTCAGTGTGGGGGTGAGGGAGCTGTGGTAGAGCTGACAGAGGAAGAACCCAGGACCTGGAGTGCCGAGGTTCAGGTTCGAGTCCCAGCTCTGTCCTTAACTCACTGGGTGCCCTTGAGTAAGTTACTCGTCTCTCTGGACCTCAGTGTCCTTGTCTGTAAAATGAGAGGGTTGGACTCGACGGGTCCCTAAGGCCTTTACATAACACTGCACCACTTTCCATGATGGCTAAGCACTTGAGCTCCTGAACCCCATTCCCATGGGCTGTGGAGGAAGAAGGGAATCAAGGGCGAGCAGGCGACATCTTAGAGGCAAGGGATTGGGACTGAAGTGGGGCAGGGACTGGAGAGTCCACCTTCCCAGACTCAGACTCTCTGTCTCTGGCCTGTTGCAGGGCGGGCGTGGAGTGGGAGCCTGGGATGGGTGGCCGCTTGGGGGAGGCCCTCTCCTCGCTCATCTTACCCAGTGTCGGTTTTGGCTTTACCAGGGACCCAGACCCGCTTCAGCCAGGAGCCAGCCGACCAGACCGTGGTGGCCGGACAGCGGGCCGTGCTCCCCTGTGTGCTGCTCAACTACTCGGGGATCGTGCAATGGACCAAGGACGGGCTGGCGCTGGGCATGGGCCAGGGCCTCAAAGGTGAGTGGGGCCGCCCAGCCAGCCCACATCTGGACTGTCCCATCTTTGTGCCCCCTCACCCCAACATTGACTCCTGGACTCAACATCCCTATTTCCCCACCACATTCCTTTTCTCTGCTCCAGCCTCCCCTGTCCCATTTGTATGGGGGTCAGTCTGTCCCTCTCCTCCTGCGCTCTGTCTCCACTGTGTCCAAACTCCGAAGCTTTGCCTTTCTTCCTGGCTGTGGACTGGCTCAAGAAAGCCAGCGGGAAGCCTGAGAGATCAAGGGAACCAAGAGACCTTTACATAAGAGAGCTTCTGACAGACAGATGGACACCACGAGAGGTGCTGCCGGCAGACAGAGGTGACGCAGGATGTGCTGGGAGACTAGAGGCCCTGCAGGAGCAGGGGAGAGCCCGGGCGTCTTCCCTGCCCCGCAAGTGTTTCACGTCAGGCTGCCGTTGCGCAGCATCTCCTGCCCCCTGCCCAGGCAATGTCCGCTCAGAGACCAAAACTCATTTTATTTTATTTTTTTTGTAAGGAAGATCAGCCCTATGCTAACATCTGCCAATCCTCCTCTTTTTTTGCTGAGGAAGACTGGCCCTGTGCCAACATCCGTGCCCATCTTCCTCCACTTTATATGGGACGCTGCCACAGCATGGCTTGCCAAGCGGTGCATTGGTGCATGCCCGGGATCCGAACCGGTGAACCCTGGGCCGCCGCAGCGGAGCACGAGCACTTCACCGCTTGTGCCACCAGGCCGGCCCCCAAAACTCATTTTAATATGAGCCTGAGCACTTATTTATTTATTCATTCAACAAGCCTTTATTAAGCACTATGGAGCCAGTGCTGAAGCAAACATAATGAGTCAGTAAAAAAAAAAAAAAAATAGAAAAGAAAAGAAAAAAATCCAACCTCCTATATTCCAAAGCAAGTAAAAATGCTTTTGGGAAGGCTGCCTGGCAGAGTGGATGAGGAGTCAAGACACACCTGGGTGCTAGTCCTGCCTTAGGAAAGCCACTGCACCTCTCTGGACCTTACTTTACTGCCATGTAAAATGGGCAGAATAGTTGCAGGCCTGCCTGTCTGCCTTAGAAGTGCCTTTGGGAGATTTGAAATGAGAGAATATGCTTGTGAAAACACACTGCTCACAGTAAAGCAGTGTGATGATAAAAATATAGGAGGGACTGTATGTTTTTATTCTTATTGTTATCTAGGGGGTTGAGATTATTTGCTGTGAGTTCCATGTATTAGTACAGGTAGGGGAAATTTGTCTGTACAAAGCAGTCTGTATAAAGCAAAGAGATGGGTCTGGTGCATCTCTTCATGATAGAAAGAGAAAGAAACTGGGAGAGAGAGAGAGAGATCAATAGATATGGAGTGAGAAGAATCGATAGCCTCTGGACAGAGGAAGATACTGGGAGGGAGCTGATGGTGGGGAACATGAAAGAGGAGGACGGGAGAGTGAGGTGGTGGGCGGGAGCCTGGAGGAAGGAGGGCAAGGGAGACAGAATTGGAGAGGGCCCACCTGCCTCAGCCATGGCTTTTGCAGACAACGGGATGCCGGTTTAGGGCCTCCTTCAGGGAGCTGGGCAGGACCTTGCCTCATACGTCCCTCCCTTGGGGAGTGAGGGCAAGACCTTGGCCTGCCTTGGGCTTGCTTCTGGCCCCAGTGAGCTCATGTCTGTGCTGCGATGCCCTATATTTCCTAGAGCCCACACGCCCTCCCCCTCTCTCTCTCCTTTTCTCCCTGCCGTCTGCCTTTTTTTTTTCTTTCTTTCCTATTATTATGAGGGACATTTGTCTGCAAACAGCTTCAGAGATTTCATCTGCTCCTGCTCATCTACCCTTTCTGCTGGCCCCCCCTCCCCACTTCTGCTTTCTGGCTCCTGGCTTCACTGGAGGAGGTTGTGACATCATGGTGGTGTCTGCATCTGGGACCTCATCCTCATTAACTGCCCGTGGGGTCCCAGGAGAGGGCGATGGGGTCCCAGGAGAGGGCGGAGGGAGGAGAGCTGGCCTGGAATGGGATGTGGACCCTGACAAGGGGATGAGAAGTGGGGAGAGGATATGCCCTTGGGGACAGGGTAGGCCAGGCTGGTTCCCATGTTGGGACAGGGCTCACCTTGGGCTCGCCCTTTCTGTTCCTGCAGCCTGGCCGCGGTACCGGGTCGTGGGCTCTGCGGATGCCGGGCAGTACAACCTGGAGATCACGGATGCCGAGCTCTCTGACGACGCCTCCTACGAGTGCCAGGCCACAGAGGCTGCCCTGCGCTCCCGGCGGGCAAAACTCACCGTGCTCAGTAATAACCACCGCCCGCAGTGCCCAGCCCCATCCTCCCATCTCTTTCTCTTGGTGTCCTGGCAGTCTCTCCCCTCGTCCATCACCTCCTTCATTTCCCACTTCTCTATTCCTGGCCTCATGTCTGCCCTCACTGTCCCTCCATCTCCCCAGCTTTCCCTCCCCAAGTCCTTCTTTAAACTTCTTCTGAAGCCACGTCCAGATAGAAGAGAGCAAAACAGGCATGTGGGCAGCCACTGGCGGGACATGTGGGATGTGCGAGGTCTGGCACCCTCTGACCCAGCCTGCGCCCAGGCCGCTCAAGGACTGGGCTCTTCCTTCTGGACATAAGGCTCTGCCCACCAGAGCAGAGGAGTGTTGGGAGGATGCAGACCCGGCCCCTTGCTTTTCCAGCCTCTCCTGGCAGACAGGCTTGTTGGTGAGAGAGTTCTCCCTTCCCCCCCATCTCTGCGCCCCTTTTCCTCCTCTTCCTCCTCACTCAGCCCCTCCTGCCTTCGCTGCCTCCTGTTCCCCTCAGCGCTCACCCTCCTCCTCAGATTCACCTCGAGGCCTCCTCCGCAAGAACAGGGGAGCACCACTGGAAGGAATGGGCCTCGAGGGCTGAGGACTGGGGATGGGGTGGGGCAGGGGTCCTGGCTGCCTCTGGAGGGGCACTGGAGGAGGGCAGGTCTCTTGGAAGCCAGGCTCCCAGCTGCCACCCATGGGGCACAGAGCAGATGTCCCTCTGTGGTAACACCCATGGCTATTTGCATAATGAGGGGACTCTCTCCTGCACTCAGTGCAGGAATGAGGCCGGCTCTGACACGCTCCTCTGCCTCTCCCCGTGCCTCTCTTGCAGTACCTCAGGCTCCATCAGTCTGTCTTCCTCAAGCTCTGGTGCTCTCGCCAGGCCTCTGCCTCTGCTGTGCTTCTCTCCGTCTCCCGCTTGGCTCTGTCTGCCTGTGACCCTCTCTCTTCCCTTTCGGCATCGACTCTGTCCCTTTCTTTTTTCCTGCCTCCGTTTGATCCGTCCTGCTCTTTTTCCTCCCCTAACCTGAAATCGTTGAGCGGGAGAGCCCCCAGGAGGGATGGGAGGAAGGAGAGAGGAGCTGAGATGAGTGAGCTTGGACACAAGCAAGTTTTTTATTTGGGAGGGTAGGGGGTGAGAACGTGACAAGTCGTCCGAGTGTGGCAGGGAGAGGCCTGGACTGGGAGGCAGGAGACGTGGGCCATTTTGGCACCAAGACTCCAAAGAGGTCACGACCTCTGGACATCAGTTTTCTCATCGGTAATGCAGCATAATGATGGCAGCCTTTTCTTAGCAACTGCTGCTTTGGTTCTCCCTGCGCAGGGAGTTGTAAACTGTGAAGGTCTGGGCAAATGTGAAGTGTCAGAATAAGTGAGGACTGGAGGGACCCAACAGCCAATTTCTTTAGATGTAAAGGCCCTGAAAGACTAGGACTCAAGCCTGGTGGATGACTTGCTTTTCCTCCAAAAATGGGAAGGACAAAATGGAAAGAATTAGCAAGGAGCAGGATTGATGTTAGGGAGCAAGAGTCAGCTGATCGCCGAGAGTGGGCACCGGATGCCAAGACACCATCTTCCCTCCCTCCTTGGAGTGTGTGTGAGCCCCCATGCTGTTCCAGGCATTCCAAGGAAACCAGGAGATTGTAGGAGACCTTCTCTTCTTTTTCCCTCCCTAACTGCGTCTGTTTTGAGTCCTGGAAGGTGCTGCTTCTGCCCTGGAGAACTCCCATCCTAATGAGGGGGCCCTGATACTCTCCCTTCCCTCTCCTACACCAGCACAGAGACAGAGAAATAGAGACACATGAAGAAAGGCCAACCAGGCCTTTAGGTATTGCAGGAAAAGGGCTTATAATGGCATCCAGCTGCTTGCTTCAATCAAGGAAGTCTTCCTGGAAGAGGAGAATATCAATGGGAACCCTAGATGGAGCAGTAACTTGTTAAAAGCTTGCAAGTCAATGAGGGAGAGCACATGAGTGGGGAAGCTGACAGGCTTGTTTGGAGGGCATGCTTGTTTGGAGGGCATGGTCGTGTTGAGGGTGTGGGCCTTCCTAGCCTATCTGGGCAATTTGGGTGGATGAGGGGAGCAAAAAGAGGCCCCAAGAGTAAGAGATTAAAGGTTAGTCCAGCACCTCCTTTCCTCTCATTCTTTTTTTTGTTTTGTTTTGTTTTTGTGAGGAAGATAAGCCCTGAGCTAACATCCGTCCATGCCTATCTTCCTCCACTTTATATGTGGGACACCTGCCACAGCATGGCTTGATGAGTGGTGCATAGGTTTGCGTCCGGGATCCAAACCTGCGATCCCTGGGCCGCCAAAGCAGAGTGCGTGAACTTAACTGCTATGCCACCAGGCCGGCCCCCTCCCCTCATTCTTTCCCCTCCTTGTTGCTCCTGAACTCTCAAACTCCCTGCCACCTGCAGACACTTGGAGGGAGTAAGACAGCAGGATGTTTCTTGCACCCTCACCTGCTTACACACGGCCTTTGCTCAGGGCAGCCTGGGGGCCCAGAACTGGGCCGGGCAGTGCACACAGCCAGCCTGGTAAACCCTTCTCATCTGCAGCCGTACCCCTCAGTGGTCGGCCTCACCCCCAGGCCAGCCTGCCTCACAGAATGGCCTTGCATTCTTCCTGCAGCAGGACTTGGAGGAGCTGCCTCACACTCTCCCTCAGACGCAGACATAGGGCAGATCCGCAGCCCACAGCTCCCTCATTATTCACAGTGATAACAACGCCAGTGCAGCAGAGATGAGCATGGCTCCGGGGTCCGCAGGCCTGTCCACATCCTGGCCCTGCCATTTCACTCACTCTCCTGTCTCCGATCACATTTGCTTCACCTCCCTGAGCCTCTCTGCCTTACCTGTGGATTGGGGTTAATGGTATTTACCCCGAAAGGATTAATGAAATGCACTTAGTGGTAAGGATTAAATGAAATCATACGCATGAGGCACGTTAGCTGACACATGGTAAGCATGCAATGAATGGTAGAAATATCATAGATCACATTACAGTTTACAGTTGGCTTCACATCCTTGATCTCATTTCGCCTTCACAATAACAACCCTGGGGAATAGGTGTCACTGTTCTTTTTGAAATTTTACACACAAGGAAACTGAGGCCACAGACACATATACATACTGAGATACAAATTTAAGTCACAAATCAAAAATTTGCTCCTAAATAAATATACACATGCACACGTGCCCTCTAACTGATGGCTGAGCAGATACCTCAACAGCCATATTTTCCTTTGCCCCAGATACAAAGAGAAAGGTGGGCTGGTGACAGATGGACAGTCTTGTCCTGAACAAGGGAAAGGGCCAGCCTTACAAGGAAGGGAGAACCAACAAGAGGAGAGGTCTTCCCCGCAGTAGGGACTCCTCATGTCTGCATATAAGTGTCTCCCTCTGTAGAAGCACAGGGCCTCTGCTCATCCAGGACCTTCCTCCTCAGGTGTAGAGCAAGGTGTGACCTTGGAGTGGCCCACACAGAACAGGAGACCCTGAGTGGCAGCTCTTCATCCATTTCTCTCCACCTTTTTCTCCTTGCTACCCCATTTCCAAATCTGCACCCATCCGGCATTGGGACCAGGAACTCAGCGAGCAAAGAGGAGCCAGGGATTCAGCAGATAATTCTCCAGTCAGGAGTTGGAGGCACTGCAGGCTCTTGTCCGGGCAGTAAAGCGAACACATTCCAGATATCACACGTGCCCTGCACATAACAGTTCATACACACCTGACCTTCACGAGGGCACCGTGAGTAGCCATTGTTGTGTCTCTGTTGAAGAAACTGAGACTCAGTGACTCGAAGAACACACTCGAGATCACTCGACAGGAAAATAAAGGAGCCAGGATTTAAAACCAGGGCAGCCTGATGCGAAATTCCATGCTTTTTCCACTCAACCTCTCTGCGTGCATGAGGTGAGCAGAATGCTGGGACGGGCTGCAAGTGGTTCCTTTCTACCGGAAACCCCAGCCTGGAGACCGTCATTGCATAAACTCCAGACAGCCCTGCCCACCACTGGATTCCTGGGCCTCCCAGGGCTACTCACGGGTTCCCTCCCAGAGCCCCATCTGAGTCTTCCTGGTCTTTTCCAGCAAAAAGCAAACTAAACCCTTCTCATTTCTGGCCTGATGAACACGAGGTTGACCAGAAAGATTATAATCAAAAATCCTTCTGCCTTTATCTCATCAATCATGTATTCATTAATTCACCTGATATCCCCAAGGACCTGTTATCAACCAAGATCTGGGCTAGACTTTGGGTCTTTAAGAGACAATAAGAGGCAGCCCCTGCCCTCAGGGAACTTGTAGTCCAATTCACCAGAGCATTTAGAAGCCCATGGGGACAGGACAGGAAGAGGCCCCCTATGTCCTAGTATCGGACATCTGATCGACTTACTGCCCTAAGCATTTAGCAAGAGCCTGCCTTGGCCACATTCTAGGCACTGGAGACGGTATAAATATTAGTGAGATGGGGTCCCTGTTTTTCCAGGAATAACAGTTTTGGTTGGGAAGAGGAGGTGGATAATCATAAGTAACCCAAACACAAGGGCAATGGTGCTGAGAGCTCTGAGTGACTGGCTGGGGACAACCGAGGTGGTTGGGGGGGACATGGCATGGAAGGCCTTGTGCAACGACTGGGCTGTGAAGAGGATGGTTGGCACTTCAGCAGATGCTGTGAAGGAGAGAACAGCAGAAGCAAAGGCAAGGAGGTGAGAAAGTGCAGGACTTGGTCTGAGGAGCCCTGAACAGCAGGCTGAGGTGCTTAGAACTCATGCCCATGGCAGTTGGTAGCCATTGAAGGTGTTTGAGCTGGGAAGTGGCACAGTCTTAGCTGTGCTATAGAGAAAATAACCTGCCAGCAGTGATGGATGCGTTGGGGCCGGCAGGGACTGGAGGCAGGGAGTTCATTTGGGAGGTTGCTGTCGAGGAACCACTCATCTGGCTGCCCCAGGGCAGAGGAGCAGACAGGAGGGAATGGATGGAAGAAGCTCCGTGGAGGTAGCCACCTTTCTGTGCTAGGCCCCCCAAGGTATGAGCTGTATTCAAACCCCAAGATAACCTAGCCCTTTCCTAATTTGAGGCCAGTCCCCTCATTTATATTGTGTAGCCTTGAGCAATGGCAGGGCATCCAGTACCGGAATTGGTACAGGCTGGGAAAGAATAACTGATGGAGGTCTGGGAAAGCTGTGTGAGCTGAGGGCCGTGGGTGAAGCCACCGTGAAAGCACAGGTACAATGACTGTAAGTCAGGGGGTAAGGGTGGCACTGCCCCACCAGGGGGTGAACATGCAGAGGGAGGGATGCGTCCAGGGGCAAGGGTTTTGGTCATCAGGGCAGTGTTGGCCACACCCTGGACTGACTTTGCTCTGCTCTCCCCACAGTCCCTCCGGAGGACACCAAGATTGATGGAGGTCCTGTGATTCTGCTGCAGGCAGGCACCCCCCACAACCTCACGTGCCGAGCCTTCAACGCCAAGCCTGCCGCCACCATCCTCTGGTTCCGGGATGGGACACAGCAGGAGGGCGCTGTGGCCAGCACGGTGAGACCCTGCCTCCTCCCCCCAGCTCCTCTTGGGCCTCGTCCCAGGTCACCTTTCCTTTCCCACATGGTTCTGACCACAGACTCAAGGAGACGCAGATGTGAGAAGGGGCCTTGGAGCGTCTGGTCCAATACAGTTGGGCAAATTGAGGCCCAGAGAACAGAACTGAATTCCCGGGTTCACAATGCCATTCAGTAGCTGAGCAGAGACTAAGAATAATAGTAATAATAGCTATATAGATTAAGCACCTACTGTGTACCAAGCACTGGTACATGCTAAGCTTTTTATGGATAATCTCTCTTAATCCTCATAGGAGTTTCATAAATTAGGTGTTATTTCCAACTCACAAAGAGGGAAGTCAGAGAGGTTGAGTGACTTGCCCAAGGTCACACAGCTGGCATGCAATAGAGCTGGGGTTTGTACCTGGGTCAGACTGTGCTCTCTCTCTACTGAGCGCCTCGACCTCCTTCCCTCAGCCTCTAGTTGGCACATTTTCCCAATTGACACAACTAAGAGGTTGGGGAAGCAGGGATTACTGTGTACATTTTATAGAGGACGGATTTATGGCAGAGAAAGGCATCAAGTGACTTGCCCAGTATCCCACATAGAACTGGAATTAGAATCCAGATCTCCTGTTTGGGGTTCCTTCTGCCAGCTGTGGGCAAACATATTTGTGCACCTAGCCCTTTGCTAGGTGCCGCCGGGGACCTGCTCACCTGCAGGGAGAGACTGCTCGTCTGTGTGCCTCGCAGTGCGGCCCCAGCGAGGACCTGGATTAGCTCTGCCCTGGACATGCTGTGTGACCTTGGACAATTCACTTCTCTACAGCCTTAGTTTCACCATTTGACAAATCAGAATTTGGCCTCAGTGGTGCTTAACTTTCTCACCACCAAGAACTCTGTTATTTTTTTCCTCTAGGGCTACATGTTTTGAAATATTTTGGCAACCAAACAAGCTGATTTGGTGCTAGCCACTTGTCCTCCACTCCCCCTTTTATATTCATTAAAGACAATGGAGCTTCGAGGCAGCATGAGGGAGCCGGGCTTATTGCACTGGGCTGGTACTCTTCCGGGCCAGCAAAGATTCGAGTATTGCTGTCAAACTGCGGGGCCTAACTTTGGCTTGTAGTACGGTATCCCTTAGGCAGTTTGCAATTTGGAAAACAGCCTATGGAGTCCTATGACCATATTCAGGGACCTGAGGTGGGATATCCCTGAGCCAGTGTGAGACTTTGAGCCTCTGAGTCCCTTCACTGCCCTTCAGGTGGTTACGGTCTAGAAGGAGAGACCCAACACTGAAACGCTCAGGCACAGTGCCTGAGAGGCAAGGCTGGGCGTGCCTTGAGCAGAGTGCAGGACAGAATGACTGCAATGGGCACAAGTTCAGGCCGGGAGAGTCCTGAGGGCTGTGATGGGCAAGGAAGACTTTTCCAGAAGAGAAGGGCCTTGAGCTGGTCTCAGAGAATTCCAGGAATGAGGCTCAAAACCCTGGGGAAAACTGTACAACATGAAGAGTGAACTCCAGTGTAAACCATGGCATTCAGTTAGTAATAATGTATCAGTGTTGGTTCATCGGCTGTAACACATGTATCACACTAATGCATCATGTTAATAATAATAGGGGAAACTGTGGGGTCGGGGAGGAGGGTATATGGGAACTCTCTATTTTCTGTTCAATTTTTCTGTAAACCTAAAACTTCTCTAAAAAAATAGCTATGAATTAAAGAAAACAAAACAAAACCAAATCAGGGGAAAGGTTGGGGCTGGGGGAGGGGGCTGAGCTTCAAGTTGAGAAGCCCCTCCAGCACAAGCCTAGCTCTGAGTGGGGTCACCCTGAGAACGGAGGAGGGGGCCTTTAGCTTGACCACGTCTCCCACCCTTGTCCCACCCCAGGAGCTGCTGAAGGATGGGAAGCGGGAGACGACCATCAGCCAGCTGCTCATTAACCCCACCGACCTGGACATCGGGCGAGTCTTCACCTGCCGCAGCGTGAACGAGGCCATCCCGAGTGGCAAGGAGACTTCCATCGAGCTGGACGTGCACCGTGAGCGGGGTCCTGGGGAGGGTGGGGTTGGGAAGGGAATGTGGGCACCCCTGGAGAAACACGGAAGAATCCTCCAGGGGCCCCAGGACAGATGCTCACTCTTCATCCTCTCGGATTCCCTGGTTTGACCCAGGGCACTGAGGGCTGGTACAAGAGGCCTCGGATGTGTCAGGCAGTTCCCACGTCTAAGCCAGCGTGTGACTTTGGGCAATGATTTAATCTCTCTGAGCCTCAGTTTCCAGTTCTGTATACTTACAGAGAATAAAATACAGGTCTACAATCCCTCATCTGAAATTCCAAACCAAAAGTGATTTGGTGGCAAAACCTGAACCAAGGCTCTTCATAGTATTTTATTTAATCCAGTTAATCTGAATAGTCATACGTTTCACTGCCGATGTGTTAATGTGTCTGACTGTGGGGTGTTGCCCAGACCCTGCTGGGGGTCTTACATAGTAAACCATCTATGCACCCCATTACCTTTCTAAAATTTGAAAAATCCCAAATTCTGAAACATACCTCATCCCAAGGGTTTCAGATAAGGGATTGTGGATCTGCTTCTCAGGGTTGCGAGCATTAAATGAGATATAGTGTAAGAGCATCTAGCATGGAGTATGCTCCCTGGTAGGTGCTCAGTCAATCCCCTCTGCCTAGGGAAGGGTGGGAATGTGGGCAGCAATTGGAGAGATGCCCCACCCCCATCCCTTCTAGCCAGCCAAGCAAACCCACACTGATGCCTAGTGGCCACATTGGGTCATTACATCCACTGATTAATTTGTCCCTTTGGTGTCATCCTTGGTGGTGATTCTAGCTGGCCCCCTCGAGGCTCCATGGGGTAAAGGTGAAGAAGACAGTTTATTTATTGGGGCTAGTACACTGCAAACTCAAATTCCCAGATCACCACATAGTGGTGAGGTCTGAGTGTATGTGCTGAGGAGAGAAAAAGAAACGAGAGACAGAAAAGACAGTGACTTCCTGTCCCCTGCTTTGCAGACCCTCCTACAGTGACCCTGTCCATTGAGCCACAGACAGTGCAGGAGGGTGAGCGTGTCGTCTTTACGTGCCAGGCCACGGCCAACCCCGAGATTCTGGGCTACAGGTGCGAGGGGAGGGAACTGGGAGCATTCTGGGGAGGGACAGCGGAGAGGCCCCTGAGGCCAGGAGTGGGGAAGCTGGGGAGGGCAGTGCCACTGGACATGGGTGAGAGGGGCCAGGCCCTGAGCTGGCTCTGTGGTGCCTCCTCCCCCAGGTGGGCCAAGGGGGGCTTCTTGATTGAAGATGCCCACGAGAGTCGCTATGAGACAAACGTCGATTACTCCTTTTTCACGGAGCCTGTGTCCTGTGAGGTTCACAATAAAGTGGGGAGCACCAACGTCAGCACTCTGGTCAATGTCCACTGTGAGTAGCTGCGAGGGCGAGCGGGGACAGAGGGCAGGGGCCTTGAAAAGGCCTGGGGTGGAGTGGGGGAGGCTCCACGAAGCTGAGAAGAGCGGGATAGACATGGGGAGGCAGCAGGGCAGGAGAAGGAAGGGAAGACCGACTGGCGCTGACCCCCGATGAGACTGAGACCCTAACGAGCTGCTCCTTTTACTTCAGTTGCCCCCCGGATCGTAGTTGACCCCAAACCCACGACCACAGACATTGGCTCTGATGTGACCCTCACCTGTGTCTGGGTTGGGAATCCCCCCCTCACACTCACCTGGACCAAAAAGGACTCAAACATGGTAAGACACTTGCTGCCTATCCTGAATGCTGGAAGGAGCGAGGCCACTGGGGGTGAGGTCCGGGGGGCAAGGGAGGTGCCGCATTCTTTTTCAAGTGGAACCTGGGGTATTTCTAGTGTCTTGGATTTGGAGGAGAAGGACAGTGCTGGCAGTCAGCCCCCAACCTCCTCGCAGGACAGCAGGCGGGTTCAATGGCAGTGGGAGGGACAGGCTGACCTGTGTGTGGGGGGAGGGAAGAGGGCCAGAGTGGAGCTGCTGTAGTGGCAACAGACCCGGTGAATGAATGCTGCATAGGAAGGTGGGGAAGCTGGGATGATTCACTAGAGAAGAGAAGGTTGACTTCTGCAGCTCTACAGAGACCTACACTAGACAGTTTGGCACAAAACTGCAGGAAGAGGGATTTCAGAGTGAAACTTCCTACTTCGTTTGGCAGGAAAAGCACTAGAACAGATCACCCAAAGAGTCTGCATCCTCTATAAATTTATTGCAGTCTCACCTGCCCTCACTGGCCTCCACCTGTCTCTGCCCACTCTTGCAGAGATGGTGTGTTTAAATGTCAACCTATTTAGAGTCAGGGGATGGACCAGATGGACTCGGGACCCTATTTCCCTTCTGGGAATTCACTTGTGGCCCTTCCTGCTTTCTTTCCAATGCCTCCAATGTGGGGGCCCACATGGACCTAGGGGCCCAGGCCTCCTGGCTCCCCACCCGAGGCTGCTCTCTCTGCCCAGGTCCTGAGTAACAGCAACCAGCTGCTGTTGAAGTCGGTGACCCAGGCAGATGCTGGCACCTACACCTGCCGGGCCATCGTGCCTCGGATCGGAGTGGCTGAGCGGGAGGTGCCACTTTATGTGAATGGTGAGTGGCCTGAGGCGGAGGGGCTGGGTGGGCAGGTGCTGTAGGTTCCAGCTGGCCCTGACTGCGTCTTCTTGCTTTCAGGGCCCCCCATTATCTCCAGCGAGGCAGTGCAGTACGCTGTTAGGGGGGACGGCGGCAAGGTGGAGTGTTTCATCGGGAGCACGCCGCCCCCGGACCGCATTGTGAGTCTGGGACTGGCAGAGGTTCTGAGGATAGCCCGCCACCTGCCTCTCTGCTCCGGCTTAGCCTCCTCCTGCCTTCTCTGCCTTTGCTCCTTCCACATCCCCATGCCTTTTCTATACTTCTAATGCTCTGACTCTCTGTCCCTCTGTCCCTTTCCCTGCTCAAATGCCACCTCCTCTCTTACTTGTTGTGTGACCCTGAGTAAATTACTTAGTGTTTTGAACCTCAGTTTCCTCATTCATGAAATGGGGGCAGTATCTCTACCTGACAGCGTTGCTGTGAGAAGTAATTGTAGCAACAGGTGTGAAAAGCCTGGGGGAGCCCCTCACTCCATTTATCGTTAGTTTCCTTGGCCACCATTCTGGGCTCTCTCTTCTTCATCTCCTTCCCTTTGCTCAGCCTCCTGATCTTTCCCTTGGTCCCCCCTCTCCCCTCTTCCCCTGGACCCTGCCCCATCCTTCTCCTTTCACCCCGCCCACTCCTTTCCCTTCTCCTGCCTTCTTCTTTCTACCAGCCCCCTTGCCGCTCTCCTCCCTCCTTCCTCCTCTCCCCCACACCATGAGCCATTAATTCCTTCCGTGACCATTAACCGTCAAACCCCTCATCACATTTAATGACCATTTGGCTAACTCCAGGGCTGCCCAGGGACACTTCATTACCACGGCCGCCCGGGCAGCGGGCGGCTTGGCTCCCGGGGGCTTTCCTTGCAGAGCTAGGAGGATTGATCCCTGGAAAGGAGCCAGTTCTCAGCTGTTCCCGCTCCCTCGGGCTCCACTCTGAGGGAGGGGATATGAAGGGGGGATGCCCCGGCTGGGAGGTCAGGGGTGGAGGAGCCTGGGGACCCCCCTCTCCAGTGATAACTCCCACCCACTGTGAGAGTCCGTGGATGGGGCTCCAGAGCCAGTGGGCAGGTTGGTGTGGGGCCGGCTGTGGGTTGGCTAAAGGTGAGGTAGAAGACTGAGTTATATTTAGTTAGAATCTCACACTATCAGAGCTGGAAGAGCCTTGGTCCTCTCATTTTACAGATAAGGAAACTGAGGCCCAGAGAGGGTAAGGAAGGCCACACAGGGACTCAAGGGGAGACCTAGGCCCAGAGTCCAGTGTTCTCAACTCCCCACCCCAGACTTTTTCTCTGACATTAGGGCTTCCCAAATGTCAGCTCATTGGATCAGCTGCACCCACATCATATGAGATCATTATAAAAATAGAGATTTCTGGACCTCTTCCCTGGAGAGTCATTTTTAGGAGATAAGCCCCGAGAATCTACATTTTAAAGATGTCCCCAGGCATATGTGCATGTCCCTGGCATAAGTCTCAGTCATGTTTAGGAGACACTGCTTCTCCTAGACTAGAGATGCCACGCCAAGGTTTGAGGCAGGAGGTGTGACTTAGGTTTGTCATGGAGTGAGCATTGTGCTGGGCCCAGGGGTACCCAAGGTGCAGGGGGTGAGGATGTCCTGAGGGGGGGGGGGTCAGGTATTTCTGCCACCTGCTGCTTCCTTACCCCTCCTGCCCTCCCCCCCAGGCATGGGCATGGAAGGAGAACTTCCTGGAGGTGGGGACCCTGGAACGCTATACGGTTGAGAGGACAAACTCGGGCAGCGGGGTGCTGTCCACGCTCACCATCAACAATGTCATGGAGGCCGACTTTCAGACCCACTACAACTGCACTGCCTGGAACAGCTTCGGGCCGGGCACGGCCATCATCCAGCTGGAAGAGCGAGGTGACTGGCAGGGCAGCCTGTGGATTCTGCTCCCTCTTCTCCCTGGGGCAGGGCTCAGAGGGAGAAACTCTCTCTTGGGCCTCCCCATCAGAACCTGGGGAAACCCACTCACTTCTTTAAACATTTCTTGAGCGATTGCTGTGTGCCAGGCCCTGCACTAGGAGCTGCAGAGACATGTGAACCAGATACAATCCCTGCCCTCAAGAAACTTTCAGTTTAGTGGAGGAACTTACAGAGTGGCAGCAAATCAAGAATCAAATGATCTGTGAAAGAGAGTAACAGGCCCTACCTCACTGGGTTGGTGTGAGGATTAAATGAGAGAGTATTTATAAAATACTGGCATATAATATGTGCCCAGTAAATTCTGCTTCCCCATCTCTTCAAGAATCCTTAGTCTGATAGGAGAGACACATTCCCTCCCTTAAGACACTTCTAGCATGACCGAAAGAGGCATTAGCTTTCACTTTTGGAAGCTCCCAGGTCTGATGAGAGAAAGAATGCTTTTATTTTATTTTATTTTTTTGAGAACTAGCCTTTTGACATGGGAGATGGAGGGAAATAACTGGGGGTCCATCAGTTCTGTCTTAGCTGAGGGTGCCAGCAAGGGGCTGGTGGGAAGTTCAGAGTGGACAGAGTAAGGCTTTCTGGAGGGGAGGAGGCTTACGTGGATCAGATCCATCCAGGACTGCAGGAGGGGAGAGAAAGCTGGAGGCAGGATTCCTGGGTCCTTCTCAGCTCTGGGGAACGGGGAACCGAGGAGGACTGTTTGAGCCCTGGCTGCGAGGTGCAGAGGGGGCCATCACAGTGATGTGGATGGGGAAGGTGGTGAAAGGTCGGAACACAGAGGCAGATCGGAGAGTTTGGAGACAGCTGACCTCAACCAGGAGCCCAGCCCGGGAAGGAGATACCAAGCCTCACAGGCAGGTGGGCAGCAGAGAGGGAGAGACCAACCACAAGGCCAGGGTCAAGTTGATGCCCCAGCTGCAGGGATGAGAGGTGACCCCAACTCTGATCAAGCTGAAGCTCTGGCCAAAACCCAAACACAATGCAGACCTTCCTCTCAAACCCCACCCTTACTTAAACCGAGCACTGTCCACAAGCTCAGTTGAAACCTAACCCTTACACAATCCAGGGATGCCAGTGGAGCTGTGGCTGGCCCGTGTGACTCCATGCTTACCCTCCTCCTTTCCTTCCCTCATCTGAAGAGGTGCTGCCCGTGGGCATCATCGCCGGGGCCACCATCGGCGCGGGCATCCTGCTCACCTTCTTCTTCATCGCCTTGGTGTTCTTCCTCTACCGGCGCCGCAAAGGCAGTGAGTATGGGCCCTCCGCGGGCCCCCCCACCCTCCAGGGTCCCCAGCAGGCAGTGCTGGGAGGAGCAAGGGGGTTGGAGTTGCCCTCCCCAGCCCAGGTGGGTCCAGAAGCAGCTACTGCAGAGGCTGGCAGAAAGCGTCCAGGCTGCCTCCCCTGTCCCAGGTCGCAAGGACGTGACCCTGAGGAAGCTGGACATCAAGGTGGAGACAGTGAACCGGGAGCCACTCACAATGCATTCTGACCGGGACGATGATACTGCCAGCGTCTCCACAGCGACCCGGGTCATGAAGGCCATCTACTCGGTGAGGGTTCAGCTCCTCCCCGGCCCGCTCCCCAATTCACGCTCTTGGGACCGGCCCACCCAGCTCTGTAATAGCCACTGTCACCCTCTCTTCCCTCAGTCCCTGCCTTGGTCCTGCCGCACACACACACACACCGGCACACACATGTGCACATGCTCACACACAAACACTGACACACGCTAACATGAGTGTGCACCCACGCTCCCCGGGCTAATTTCCCTCAAGCAGAGGATAGGCAGGTGGGCCCCCATAGGCTTCCTTCGCCCTGTCCCTCCCCGTCAGAGTGTCAGAGTTGGAAACCCCTACAAGTTTTATGGTCCAATGGCCTCATTGCTCAGATGAGGAAGCAGTCTCAGAGAGGGGCAGCGACATGCCCAAGGTCACGTTGCATGTTAGTGACAAAATTGGTGCTAGAACCTGGGTCTTCCCACCACATCCCAGAGCCTCCGCTGGGAGAGGATACAGAACTCAAGCCTGCCTGTGCCCCCAGACCCTTCTGGTCAGCAGGTGGCCTTGGGGTGAGGGGACGGGGTGGGCAAGGGGGCCAAGAACAGGGCCTCTGTCTCCTGATGCCCCACTGCTGCTGCTCTGCAGTCCTTTAAGGATGATGTGGACCTGAAGCAGGACCTGCGCTGCGACACCATCGACACCCGGGAGGAGTATGAGATGAAGGTGGGAAAGGGGGAGGGGCCAGGGCACGAGGCCTGGGTGGGCACGTGGGGCTCCGAGGGCCTCAGGGTGGAGGTGAGGGCAAGTGTGGGGAGGAATGGTCAGGAGGTTAATTGAAGGAACATAGGAGGTGGAGAGGTACCCCCTGAGGACACAGGGTAGAGCCAGAGGAGGCAGGCCAGGGGGCCATGGCGAGACTTGACGCCCCTGCCCCAAGAGAGAGCTCCCTCCTCCATCCTCTTCTCTCGTTGCCCCCCAGGACCCCACCAATGGCTACTACAACGTGCGTGCCCACGAGGACCGCCCGTCTTCCAGGGCAGTGCTTTATGCTGACTACCGTGCCCCTGGCCCTGCCCGCTTCGACGGCCGCCCCTCCTCCCGTCTCTCCCACTCCAGCGGCTATGCCCAGCTCAACACCTACAGCCGGGCCCCTGCCTCCGACTATGGCCCTGAGCCCACACCCCCTGGCCCTGCTGCGCCAGCTGGCACCGACACAACCAGCCAGCTGTCCTACGAGAACTATGAGAAGTTCAATTCCCACCCCTTCCCCGGGGCAGCAGGGTACCCCACCTACCGACTGGGCTACCCTCAGGCCCCGCCCTCCGGCCTGGAGCGGACCCCGTATGAGGCGTACGACCCCATTGGCAAGTACGCCACCGCCACTCGCTTCTCCTACACCTCCCAACACTCGGACTACGGCCAGCGGTTCCAGCAGCGCATGCAGACTCACGTGTAGGGGCCAGAGCCCGGCTGGGGCATCTCTGCGGGGCAGAGGAGAAGGCTCTCCCAGCTGTTCCCTGATATTCAGGGGCATTGCTCGTTGCTCCCGTCCCAGACCAGCCTTCCTCCTCCCGCCGTGGCAGGTGGGGAGCAGGTCTCCCGGAAACACCCCGTCCCGAGGATGGTGCTCTGTGCATGCCCCACCTCCTGGGCCTGCCCTTCCCTCTTCTTCGGGAGGATGTGTCTCTTCTGACCTGCGCTCTCGCCTGGCCCCAGCATGGGGACAGGGAAAGGGAAGACTGCAGAGAGCAGAGTGGGCACTTTTTAGCATTCCTTTTCTATCCCACCCCTCTGGTCTCCCGTAAGTGGATGGGGGGGTCACGTGGGCATGAGCAGGCTTTGGCCTAGGGGACATGAAGTGTGGGGGTGGGTGGCCCTGGCACAGATAGGTGGAAACAGGAGAGCCTAGCCAGTCCCTCTGTCGTCTGCATTCATGCTCTGGGTGCAACTCTCCCTCCTTGGGACTGCAGAAGGGATCTTGGATTTATCTTAGCTCCGTCTACAGAACAGCCCTGGCACTGAGTTCAAATCCAGTTCAAATCATTCAGCTGGGGTTAAAATGCCAATCATCCTGGCTGCCCGCTGTGGACACCTGTCTCTCAGCCTGCAGAGGGATCCAGGGGTCTCCAGGTGTGCAGCCCACTTCCCTGCTCCTCGATCCTGGGCCAGTCAGATAAGTCAGGGGATCGTGGTGGAGAAAGGAAAGGTCAGGCACCATGTCCTGATTCACCAGCAAGACAGCTGTGTGCTACATAGCAGTTTCCAGAACCCACATTAGAGGGAGCCCATCCGAGCCCCCTTCTCTCCCCAATCTGCCCCACTTCCTGGCTTTAACTCTTGAGCCTGCCTGGGGAGTGGTGGGGTGAGGGTAGGGGTGCTGTAAGCTATTTTCAAAGACAACAAAAAACAATGAAAACCTCATTTGGGGGAAAAAAAAAAAAAAGCTGTAGAGATCCCCCCACCCAAATACACGTCCCAACGGAAAGGAAAGGGGGCGCCTGTTCTCCACCAGATTGCTAACACCTTCCATTACTCTTTCCATCTCCAAGCACTTTGAATCCATTTTTAAACATTCAGATGGTGAGACCTGTCACTGGATGGGCTCTGACAGGCTTAGGGAGGGGGCCTGGCTCTCAGACTCTACTGTCCTACCCCAGGGCCCACCAGCCGGTTAGAGAGGCCACCTTCCAGGGGGCATGGGAGATGTTCTCTTGAGACAGGTTTTGGTTCGTTGTCTTTTTTTTTTTTTTTCTTGGACCAATCAGATTTCTTTTTCCACTTTCAGTGCCTTGAGTGTCCAGCGTTGGTTGACCGTCCCTATGTGGGTAGCTGTGCAGGGAGCGGGTATTGTGAGTCCCAGACCCGCTGTCAAGCGTTGCAGTGTTTAGGAGATAGACGGGTGAGGGGGCCTGGGGAGGAATGGCTGACCGGGTAAGGTGGCGCGGAACGGCACTGCAGGCAATCGCGGCCCATGCCGTCCCCCCCCCCCCCCCGCACACACGTGCACACCCACCCACACACATTCCACACGGGAGGTTCTCAGCCGCCACCTTCTGACCAAAGAGAACCGGCGCTCCAAAGAGAACTCGGATCCCTGCCCCAGCGCCCCTTCCCAAGAAGCAGAGTCTGCCGTCTGCTCTTTCTCCAGACTCGCTCCCCAATGGAGCGGGGCCTCCGGTGCAGTTCCCAGAATGCGCCTTGCCCTTTCTCATGGTCACCATTCCTTGGTCATGTTCGCTTTAATGAGTTACATGCCCATCAGCCACGGGCCATCACCACTCTTGCGGATGGGTCTGTGGGGTGACTCCTGGCCAGCCCCTCGCTGGGAGGGACCAGCTAATACCCAGGAAGAAAGTAGCTCCAGTTCCAGCCTCGCAGGCTGCCTCTGCGTCCTCCTCCAACCCAGCAGGGGCAATCCCGAGGACCGGCCCTTCCCAAGGCAGGGTACAGGCTCCCAGCTGCATTCTGCTCCTGCCCCTGCCTCTTCTTGCGGAGTCCGTTTATGTGAGCTAAGTGAGAAGGTCTGTTAAGGATGCAGGTTCCTCTGCAGACAAATTCATGCATATTTTGATTATTTTCACAGAAACCAGAAGCCATGGGTAATCTAAACAGTTGAAGACTAAAGATGGTGGCTTTTTAAACAGGAATATTCCAAAAAACGTTCATCTTTTGTTTGGGGTTTGGCCAGATTCTCTTGTTTCCTCCATTTTGGTTTAAGTGCTGGGCCCAATCTGTTGAAATGATGGAAAGGAGGGGCGGAAGGTCACTAGGTAACTCAACTGACGCTGCAGGGACCATTACTTTTCTGGAGGCTGATATAGAGCCACTTCACTGTTCTCTCTTCAACACATTAACCGGGGCCTCCTGAGTAGCAAGCAAGCAAGGTGAATGGCACAGCGACCAAGGCTGTCTCTGCCCTCTGCAGCTTGGGCTCTGGTCTGATCAGAATCTGGATTGGGACCTCCCTGTTAGGCCACTTGGAAGAGTTTTTCTGGGGAGTGGAAGGTGCCCTTGAACGCGGAGCTTTGTTTTCTACGGCTGATGCCCTCCAGCAGGGCGCCTCAGTACTAAATGTGGTCACCTTGGTGAGCCTGACGGCCTTTGACGTTCTTGTTTTGGTGGGAAGAGCAAGGGGCTAGGAGCCAGGAGACCTGGGACTCAGTTCTGAAGCTGCCACTTACTGAGTGACCTTGGCCTAATCTCTACATTCATTGCCCCCGGTTTTCTGACTTGTAAAATGAGGGGGAAGGGTTGCACAAACCTAGCATTATTCTGCTCTTACTGTATTCATTTGGTGAGGTGGAGGGGCCTGGCTGTCCCTGCAAAAGAGTTGAGAACAGCAAGTGAGCAGGCTGAGGGATGGGGGAGTGGAAAGGTTCTGTTCCCCTCTTGAAAGCAAGCTTTCACCATGGGCTCCCTTATCTTGTCAGAAGTCTTGTGAATGAATTTCCACTAGGAACCCCTCAATCCCAAACAGCAACAAAAACCATATCCTAAACCTGAGTGAAATTGGCGTGGGGTTATCCTTTGTCATTGGATAACTGTGCTGCTCCTCACTCAGAATTCTGACAGTTTTGCCAAGGTGTCTCTGGCCAGGGCAGGGTATGGTGAGTTTCCTTCACTGTGTACCGAGGTTTCAGGCAACTTCCTCTGTGGAGAGAAATGGGAGCAGCCACTCTCCACCCCAGTCCTCAGGAGCATTCCCCTTGCCCAGGGACAGCAGGCCCCACTTACCAAGCAAGGTGAATCCTGCAATTTACGGTGTCTTGAGCCAGAGGGTGAGGCATGAGTACAGCTGACCCCTCTGTCAAATGAGCAGGTAGGAAGTGCAGCTTGTGCAAGGAAGAGTGGTACAGCAGTTTTGACATAAATTCTGGACCTTGCAGAGGTTCTTGTCATTCTGGGTGACCCATGGTCTCTTTTCTCATGGAGGGCCCAGCCTGCATCCTAAATCCTGGATCCTTCAAAATCCAGCCACAGAGTTTATGTGAGGCAAAAACCACAAGAAGCCAGAAAGCGGCCAGGAATGGGAGCAATGCCGTGCTCTCACAAATGCCTTGCTTGGGATGAAAAAGTTTAGTTTGACCACCCTGTTTCCAGACACTGTGCCCTCTGCTTATCCCAGGAGTCACTGCATTCCTCGTAATTTTGAGGGCAGTCTTCTCTGCATTACAGGATGGAGCACCCTGGCTGGAGCCTCTTCAGCCCTCGTGCCCTCTCATTAACCGGTCGGCACTCTGTCAGGAACCACAAGTCCTGGGCTCCTTAAAATGGAATCAGATGGTCTCGGTATACTTGACCATGTCCATAGCAATGTTGGGCCATTTGGGTTTGAAGAAAACCACATTAAAGCCAAGACCCCAGCTGGACTGAGCTGGCTCGGTCACTGCCTCACTCTTTGCTGCGAGGGCCGTTCTGTCCCCACTGCTGTACTGCTAAGGCTACCCCAGCCTCAGAAACCCTGGCTTCTCTACCATTTTAGTGCTGTGTCCTGAGCCGGGTCACTGCTCTGTGCCTCTGCAGACCCTTCTGCATGTTGAGGGAATCACCTGAAAGGCGTTATTCAAGTTCCTGACCCTGGTGGGACCGGTGAGGATGTGATAATAGAACACTGAAGTGCACAGACCAAGGGATGTAATTGGAAAGACATTTATTTTTGTGAAGAGGCTATAAAATTAGCATTTAAATATCCCATTCCCTTCTCTCTGCCTCCCCCTGTCCTCCCATGGTATCTCTCTCCTCTCCTCGAGGCCAGCCTCTTTCTGAAAGGCATTGGCCTCACCTTGATCAGCTTGGCCCTGACATTCCGCCTCTGGGCTGGTGGACAGAATGGAAGGATGTGTGGCTTGGGAGATTTCTGAATTTGGGAGATGGAGGCGGGGGGTGGGGGGTGGAATCTCATTTTCTTGCATCACTGTGAGGGAGCTCCAGGCCCTGTCTCTGGAGAAATAATTGCTGCGCAGAAATCACAGGCCATACTGGGCAGTTCTGGTACAAGCCTGCCCTGAAAAATAATAACAATAATAATAATAACTCCATTTGCATAGAACTATCACTCATTCCTACCAGTCTCCTGTGCCCACTCCTGGCTTGTTTTGCTTGCCCCAATCACTGGCCTTTTCAAGTGTTGGTGGGCCATGGGCTCTTCTATTTGCTTCTGGAGGTCTTCAGATGATGAGCCCTGGGAACACCCCTCACTCTGGGGAGAGAGCAGCCAAGTCGCCAAAACAATCAAACTCTTGACACAATCTTGTTAGCAATAGCAACCCAGAAGATTTGGCTGCCTCCAGTTTCACGAGAAATAGGCCCAGGGCTCCCTGTGGTCACATTTCTACCCCAACTCTACTTGGGATTACAACCTCCATTTCTGGTTCCGGTTGACTTTTCTTCACCCAAACCACGATAATAAATGGATCCATGATGATAATTAAGAGAAGAGAAAAAAATATTATTTTTGTTAGGACAAACCATCGTAGATTTTTAGCAATGTGTATTTGTGTGTCCCTCACACCTTTTCCTATTCTCCCTTTTTTCATTTTCATTTTTTTTAAATATTATGTACTATATTTTTAGTCTCAAACACACTATATATTATATATATTTAATTTTTTTATATATATAAATATAAATGTTTTAAAAAGTACCATGTTTGTGTTATTTAATGCATGAGCAGTTCTAACTACTTAAAAGCTTGCCTGATTTGGGGTGAAATGGTCCAGATTTGGGAAAAGACAAGGGATTTTGGAATTGAGATTGCAAAGATTATATATCTGTGTCATCTCCAGGCTGTGGGGCAAAGGCATTTTAGTCACCAGTTTGTGACTGTTACAAAACCCTGGGGCCAATTATGGCAGTTCAGGGACAAACAGCTGGAGGCTCCGTGCCTTTGGAACACAGCATCCAAATGTTCTGTGCCAAATCTGATTATGGGGTGGGGAAGGGGGAGACTGAACCTGGGATCCAGATCTCAAAGGAATTGGGAGTGGAAGTGTGAGCAGGGCTGGTTTCATTTATTAAAATGTAGCGGTTTAGGTAAAAGTGACCAGGTCTCCAACTTTTTGAACTTGTAGTGAAACAAAACTGAAAAGGCAGAAGGTGCACAGGGCACTCACACAGAGGCCGTCCTGCTGAGAAATTCTAAATTCTCCAAGGTTAGTAGAGTTTGCAGGGATTTCACTTTGCTTGTTTCACAGGAGTGTTTGAGGATAACTGAAAAAAAATTGTTTTCAGATAATATTTTTGAAAGCCCTAAATCATTAGAGAAATACAAGGGTTTATTGTATTCCTCATCCAATTAACAACCAAGCAAACTGAAGATGGTCCACAGTAGCCTTTTTGTACACAAGGGACACAGGACACAGTCAGAGACAGAGATGGGATGTAAGAGCTGAAAAATACTTTGGAGATAATGTGACCCATTTCCAAG